TTTGCAACTCAGTCTCTGCAGATCGCATTGTAATGGCTGCGTCAAGGTTGCTTGGTGCCGCGGCTGCATTCGTAATACTATTGTCTTTTGCAGCTGGATCTCGGAAATCGTATTGGAGTGGGTGCATCGAGGGTTCGACAGTGATTAGTAGTAGTGCTGGGAATTGATTAATGAAAGCTTAATAGATGACATATGAGAAGGGACGAGATGAGAAGAGATGAGCTGGGATAAGGTGAGAAGAGCTCAGATGAGATGAACTGTGGAGTGTGAAGAGCGCAGTGTGAAGTGTGAAGTGTGAAGTTTGGAGTGTGAAGGAAGCAGTGAGAAGTGAGAAGTGTGAAGTGTGGAGTGTGAAGTTTAAGTTTGGAGTGCGAAGAGTGAGTGTGAAGTGTGAAGTGTGAGGTTTGGAGTGTGAAGGCAGCAGTGAGAAGTGAGAAGTGTGAAGTGTGGACTGTGAAGTGTGGAGTGTGAAGTTTGGAGTGCAAAGAGTGCAGTGTGAAGTGTGGAGTGTGAAGAGTGCAGTGTGAAGTGTACAGTGTGAAGGAAGCAGTGGGAAGTGAGAAGTGTGAAGCGTGGAGTGTGAAGTTTAAGTTTGGAGTGCGAAGAGTGAGTGTGAAGTGTGAAGTGTGAGGTTTGGAGTGTGAAGGCAGCAGTGAGAAGTGAGAAGTGTGAAGTGTGGACTGTGAAGTGTGGAGTGTGAAGTGCGAAATGAGAAGTGTGAAGTTTGGAGTGTGAAGGAAGCAGTGAGAAGTGTGAAGTGTGGACAGTGAAGTGTGAAGTGCGAAGTGAGAAGTGTGAAGTGTGAAGTGTGAAGTTTGGAGTGTGAAGGAAGCAGTGAGAAGTGTGAAGTGTGGACTGTGAAGTGTGGACTGTGAAGTGTGGACTGTGAAGTGTGGAGTGTGAAGTGCGAAGTGAGAAGGAAGCAGTGGGAAGTGAGAAGTGTGAACTGTGAAGTGTGAAGTGTGGAGTGTGAAGTGTGGAGTGTGAAGTTTGGAGTGCGAAGAGCGCAGTGTGAAGTGTGAGGTTTGGAGTGTGAAGGCAGCAGCGAGAAGTGAGATGTGAAGTGTGGAGTGCGAAGTGTGGAGTGTGAAGTGTGAAGTTTCGAGTGCGAAGAGTGCAGTGTGAAGTGTGGAGTGCGAAGTGTGGAGTGTGAAGACTTTGCTTCGTCTCTCGCTGAAAAAAAAAGCCGCTTGTCGAGGGAAGGACACGGTCGGGACAGGCTGGCGTCGAACTATAGGTCATTTATGTTTGGGAAACTTCCGCCGCCGGCTTGCCCGGGTCTATGTTATTGTTTTGCCCACATGATAGCAATGAAAAAAATAAAATAAATAAAATTCTACTAAAACAGGGGTGATAACAATTATCCTATCTTTTTGAGGCTTCCTGTTGCTCACAGTACTTGTTATAGCACATGACAACAACCCAGCAGGAGCCTAGGACCTCGGGTTGTGATGATCCTTGATTCATGCAGGTGGTATGTTCTAAATGCCTTACACCCCGCCAAATAAGGAAATGCTTACGCCATTGCTTACGTTTTGCTTCCGTGCGCACAAGGTTTGCTTCCGCGCATATCTTGTCTTACGCGGAGCTTACGCTGGCTTACGCTCGCAAGAGTTTTTCGTATCCCACACCCTTACAAGGGCCCCTTCCTGAACATGAACATACGGGTTGAGAACGTCGCTCACGTGGAGCGTTTGGGTATATGGGTGTGTCTGAAATTGGGGTCCCCAATTTAGGCTACTCTCTACGGGCAAAATGGTCATCCCATACTGGGAATCCAACCACAATGGATGGAGTATTCCCATCCCCCCAGTGACTGGGCACGTTTCTGTAAACTTCTGCAACCATTTTCATAGGTATGGAAACCCCGCACCATTTCTAGATCTTTCCCTACTAGGCTTTCAATAGATTTTCCGCATCTATATATATATATATTTCTATATATTACTATATAATAACCAAAGTTTCTCCATGGTCCCCAGTTAGTGGACTTGCTAGCAAACCCGGCTAACCCGGACCCCTAGCTCTGTGGGATGATCCTTGGTGGTACGCCATCCTTCGCTCCAAGGCACCAGCAGTTGAAATTCCAAGGAGATCGCCTCAGCCAGAGGCCGCTTGCCCAAGTTCTCGATGTGGATCAGCTCCTAGGGCTGCGAAAGGATCTGGACATTTTTAGTGGTTATAAGTTGGAAGTGGTGATAAGCCATCTGTTTGTATAATGATCATATATACCTATACAAACTATAAGTTATAAGTTCAGTTTGTATAGTGATTAGCCTTTTTTGCCAGGTTACAAGATGTGATCAGTTACAGTAGATACTTTATCGTTAATAATGATGAACAAGAATAACTATACTATAGGTATACGGTTGGTAATCTGGATGATGGATATGCTTCGGTGTCAAACATGGCAAGCTGGATTTCCTTTCTATAATAATTATATGGAGGTTCATCCATGAGAAAATCATCCGAACCATAGAGTTTTGCCCATAGAGGACCATAGAGGACCATAGAAGACGTGGATTTTCCCGCAAACCATGTTTTGATTACAGGGTAACCCCCTGAACAAAAAACATCAGTTTTGGCTCCCATGACTTTCCCATAGAGGACCATGGACAGCAGGAAAGCCTTGGTTTCAAGCGGCAAACACTCATAATTACATATAATTACGTGTGTTTTCTATGAAACTGCCTCAAAACTATTTCCGAAATGTCTGGTTTTCACAGCTCCCACCACCATTTAGCATGTTGATTTACTGAATGCTGGTTACGTCTATGGCTAGGCTCACTGATGTAGACCTCTTCATACTGCACCCAGATCGATTCAAAGGCTGCCATGGCAGCTCTCAAACGGACCAAGGGGAAGCGATTCCTGAGATCTGCACGTTGACAGGGTCTGGCTACGGCTAGCAACTGAAGATTTTTACTCAGTATCAATAATAATGATGACCAGGTTTTTTTTCCTCAAAAAAAAACAATCTATGTACAGTAAACACATTTTTTGTAGTGTTATCAAAAACTGAGATCTGGTTATAAATTGATGTTCAGTTTTTGGTCTGGTTATCAATCTATAGATGACTTGAGGAGGAACGACACAATCTCCAAGGTGCCGCTTGGAGGATTCGCTCAAGATCTCACAGAGTTCCTGGAAACAGTTCCTCGGACGCATCCCCCTGAATTCTGAGGCCGCGGATGGAACATGTTTGCAAAATATTGTTGCTATTTGTTACTACTGTTACAATGCCATTATATATAATACTATTGTAGTTGCCTGATGCATCTGCAGTAATATGAATATAATTAATGGGTGTGATACATATTATCAAAAATATCATGGAATGAATACCCACGGGATACTCAAACTGCTTGACTTGGGGATTGTGTCAGGTGGTTTCTTCAGTTTCTTCCCTCTCTTCTCACCCCAGCAACGTTTACAGTCCAAGGGGCTTCAACACCATGCCCTTACCAAGGGTGGCAGGTCTCAGTTGATGTGCCTGTCCATTCACCAACACCAGCGACTCCTGTGGAGACGGCTTATTCACCACTGCATCACCAACAACCTCAGGTCATTAGGGGCTTATGAACACTTAATATAAACCATCTATTTTTCCGAAGAAACCAACTAAACCAACCATGGGGGTTGGTTGAATGGCCATGATCCTTCTTTGATGGGATTGGAATGGGTTGGACCCCTAGACATAGTCAGAAACCATAGTCTGATGGTTCAAAACATACGTAGTGGATGCGAAATCGAAATCCTGCACCACCAAAAGCATGGTAGAACACCTATAAATATTTTTTGGTAAAACACTTACAGTCTCAACTGGTGCAGGATTTCGCAACCATCCACAGTAGTTAAATCCCCTATCATCAGCCAGCCGGATGTTTTGTTCACACTCCTGGCGGATCGCGGCTGAGAGGATCTCGGGGCGGTAGATCCTGAGTTAAGCTTTCAGGTGCAGGGAACCAGGGCTATACCAAGGATCCAATGGCAGCGATGCCCATATTTTGACTCATGGCCATCTCCGAAAAATGTGAGTGGAAAACCTCGATCCATGAACAATCAGTCTGCTTCTATAGAACATCTGTACTGGTTGGTGGTTGACCTACCCCTCTGAAAAATATGAAAGTCAGTTGGGGTGATTATTTCCAATAGATGGAAAAATAAAAACTCTTCCAAACCACCAATCAGTATATATCCTGTTCATTGCCATTTGGGTACCCAATTTTCAGACACACACTTGTTCAATCCTGCAGCCCTCATCGCCTAGCGTCCCATCACCTTGACCCAAGAGCATGATGTAATTCCTGGCGGAGAAACACCGCTGTTGGGCCTCCCAAATGGAGATATCTGGAACTAAACCGCTGTTCAGTTTCTAGTTTAAAAATTCTTACTAGGGGTAAGGGATTAACTTAAACATGGCAATTTCCCGCTCCAATTCGTTTCAGCTTGCTGGTTTTACTTTCATTTTGGAGTGGACCCCGGCATTGGCTAACTACTGTAAAAAAAGATCTCTTGACAACATCTGGGTGATGTTGTCCTCGCGTTATGGTACATGATGAGTGAAACAAACACCCGAAGCAAAACCCTGCACGGTCCACGACAAGTTTGCCATGGAGAGTGAAGGTGCTGCATGATACTGCTGGTCCCATTCAATACTCCCCAGTAAACTAGCAGTTCGCTACGGAAAATCACCATCTTTAGTATAGGTTTATATGTTCGAACTAAATTGGCCATCTATACCATAGCTATGATAGTTTACCATAGTTTACCGAAGGATAAATGTTTCAGAGATGCAGGGAAAAAAACACCGTTGAAGTCTTCGGATGCAGCTTTAGATGCAGCCATACCATCATGCTCTTGCACAGCCATATTTGAAATCTTGGAGAAAAAAAGGCTGGAACCAGAATGCACAAGAGAGAGACACGGAGAGAGACAAAGAGAGAAAAAAATATATACATAAATAAACATTAAATAAGTAAATATAACATATATATATATATATAAAATACACACACCTATTTTTTAATTATATATATATATAAATATCATAAATCCGAAAAACAACAATAAATCAATCCATGTTTAGCTGTCCAGTATATGTCCCCAGCTAGCTGCGACCGTTGATTTCGGGAAGGCGAATCCCCATGGAAATCATCTTCATATCCGCACCAATAGTAACTGGTGAAATTCGCAGTCGTCAAACCCACGTAGTATATATACCCATATATTTATATACATATATGACATTAGTATACATTAAAGCTCAACTTGTTTTAATATGTAATTTGATATACTGTGCATTTATTGCGCTTTCTTCGATATGTTTCAACCATTTCAAAATTCCACTCAATAATTCATGCCCTGTGGTTTAATTCATACCCCCTATGAAATAGCATTGTTTTACTGTTTTATCAACCAGCCTGCTGCTCAAATTCCAATGTTTCCATATAGCCAGTAGAATTGAAGCATGGAAATAGCATGGGAATCTAAGCATTGCTAACATTCCATTCTTGCCAATTATATATATATATGTATACATAAAACCCATCAGGGTTTGGTAAATGTCCTGTTGTGGAGATTATATCAGGACATTTACTAACGATGTTTGTTTGCTTAAAGCTTAGCTCCATTGTTGAGGCTATGTCTCCATTTATAGTAACCCCAAATAAGATTTAACAAAAATGGTAAAACCCCATGAAAATAGTGGTAAATTATCCATGTCTACCTTTTTTTTAAGGTGGTACTAATATATCAAATTGAATTCAAATGGGGGATCCATAGGTTTCAATACTAACATGGTCTCATGACTTGGATGATCTTGGATGCTAACTGGGGGTACATACCCCCATGACTTAGGAAACCTCCATATGATGGTTTGTATACTGTACATTGTACATGCAATCATGCAGCATCATGAAGCCTCGAAGAAACCATAAGAAACCTGGCCATGCTTTTTAAAGCCATTTCTATTTTTTTTGCTGTATAGTACTATAGCTGTGGAGCAAAAAAAAGTATCCCAGTGAACCTCCAAAGAGCCATGTTCTAAATGTCTTACATCCTGGCACCAATGAAGGAAATGCTCATGCCATTGCTGCTTACGTTTTGCTTCCGTGCGCGCAAGCCTTGCTTCCGTGCGCGCAAGCCTTGCTCACGGGCATATCTCGTCTTACGCGGAGCTTACGCAACATGAACATGCGAGGGTAAAGGAACATAAAGCTCCAAATGGCGAATGCGATGGATGTTTATCCATGTTTATCCCATCATCCTTCTATATAATATGCCCATGGATTGTTTATCCATAATGATTTCCCATGGGATAAACATGGATAATGGGATGTTTATCCATCCTTCTATATTGTAATATGGCAATTTTGCCCATGGACCCATCCCCATCCCATCCCCATCTCCGCCAGGCGACTCCGAAAAGTCGCGGCGGTAGCTGCGGGAGCTCAATGGCACCGCCAGGCCCGTCATGGCCAGCGAGAGCGCCGGCAGCAGCTTGTCGCTGGCACCGTGGACCTCAAAGCGGTGCACCAAGGGGCTGCGAGTGGGAGGATTTTAGGCAATTTTTATGGGATTTTCATGGGTGAAATATGGGATTTGACATGAGTGCTAAGATTTTCATGGGATGTCAATGGGATTTACATGAAGGTTCTGGGATTTTAGTGATTAAAAACAATAGTTAGAAGCATAGAAGCAACTATAGATGGATAAGCTACGAATCGGGGACTTATGGTCACCAAAGTTACTAATCACTGGGGTGATCCTCCAAGTAGCGGGATGAATCTGGGATTTAAACCATGATAGTTATGGCATTTTGTTGGGAACACATGATATGAAACAGGGGTCAACATGGTTCATGATCGGTTCATGCTCACACACGGCAACTCAATGATTCGATAGATAGTATGAGCATGACATGTTGATCTTGTTGCAATATAGAGCCCCCAGAATTTCACTGTGCTTGTAATATTTTGTAATAATAGTTCTCTCCAATCTAGCTACTAATGTCAGCGACTTCGTATGAATATAGTATGAATCACCGCTGCCATCGCATCACCAGCACCATCACCCTCCAGGCTTTTGCCAACATCGCCCTTGCAAGGCCCCGGCCTGGTAGCTTTCAACCAGCTTGTGCAGATTTCGCTTAGTATCATCAATGGTGCTTGCGGAGGACCCCATCAGCAACTAAAGGAAGGCTGAAGGAGGGCTGATCGGGCTGATCCAAGGGACGGATTCGGGAGAGGGGCGTGCTGGAGCCAAAAGCACAAATGCCAAATTGGTTTCACGACAAAATAAATTGGGGGAAGTAATTAAATATACCCCGAAACATCTAAATCCGTTGGTCAATCGTGATTTCCCCCATCATATTCCCCCATTAAATGGCCATTGAAAATATTGAAGGGTATGATTCATGTTCAGGCACACCCAAATGCCGTGACGACAGGGCTTGACTTCTTGCACGGAAAACCGGTCATTTTGGATGGGACCGGTCATGTCTTGGCATCAAGTGCTTTGTGTTGGGAAACCCCCATTTCTAAGTTAATTATCTGGTGTTGGTTTTAACCATCTTGAAAAATATTAGTCAATGGGAAGGATTACTGTATCCCATATATTATGGAAAATAAATTACTTTACTTCGTGTGATCCCCACCGTGACATTTTTACATTTTCTTACTGGCAAATCTTCTGGCATTCTATCTGACATATCTTCTGGCATTCTATCTGGCAACTCTTCTGGCATTCTATCTGGCATATCTTCTGGCATTCTATCTGGCAACTCTTCTGGCATTCTATCTGGCATATCTTCTGGCATTCTATCTGACATATCTTCTGGCATTCTATCTGGCATATCTTCTGGTATATCTTCTGGTATATCTTCTGGCATATCTTCTGGCATATCTTCTGGCATTCTATCTGGAATATCTTCTGGCATATCTTCTGGCATATTATCTGGCAAATCTTCTGGGATTCTATCTGGCATATCTTCTGGCATATGTTCTGGCATATCTTCTGGCATTCTATCTGGCATATCTTCTGGCAAATCTTCTGGGATTCTATCTGGCATATCTTGTGTCATTCTATCTGACATTTTATCTGGCATACCTTCTGGCATTCTATCTGGCATATCTCATAGCATTTTATCTGGCATATCTTCTGGCATTCTATCTAACATTCCATCTGGCATATCTTCTGGCATTCTATCTGGCATATCTCATGAGGTCCGGCAGGGAACACTTGGCGTGGATACTCGCGGTTGAGGTCCGGCAGGGAACACTGGGCGTGGATGGTCGTGGTTGAGGTCCGGCAGGGAACACTGGGCGGGGATGGTCGTGGTTGAGGTCCGGCAGGGAACACTGGGCGGGGATGGTCGTGGTTGAGGTCCGGCAGGGAACACTGAGCGTGGATGGTCGTGGCTGAGGTCCGACAGAGAACACTGTGCGTCGAGGGTCGCAGTTGAGCAGGAGGACGAGGATGACGAGGAGGACGAGGAGGACGACGAGGAGGAGGAGGAGGCAGGAGGAGGCAGGAGGCAGGAGGAGGCAGGAGGAGGAGGACCAGGCAACTTAGATAAAATCTAACAACCCTCACCTGGCAGGTGGGGAAAAATGTTCCAAACCACCAACCAGTTATAATATGTTATAATATACAGTAGAAGTCTGATCGTATTGTGTTCTCATCTGCCTCATTATATCAATCCATGCAGATGTGCTCTTTTACCCTCGCGGGTGAACAAATGTCATCCCCTGCGTTTGCAGGATACGGATAGGCCTTACCTTTGTTTCCTCCGGCTCGCTCCCATGACCATTGTAACGGGAGATTGCCGAAAGGCTCCTGACAAAGGAGCCCTAATTCATCTCCACCACAGCGCGTCAGCCCGCACAAACAGCGCACCGAAGAGCCAGATTTCGTGAAGATTGAAGCCAAACTTTCTATGCATACTTCTCTGCCGAAGAAACAAACTGCTCAGAACTCACAAACGCTTGGGGCTTGAGACGTTGCCAAGGCAAGTCCTTTTTATCTTCAGATGCGGTGCATATATCAGCACCAACAACCTGGTGCATCTCTGACAACAGGCGTCAAAAGAGCCCCAGCTCTCTCTTCTTCTGGGCCCTCTTCCATCCAGCCAGTTTTCCGAAATCCTCCTTGGTCACCTGCCAACGGAAGGGAAGTTGGGGTATTGGACCCGCAATTCCTGGCACTGAGCTTTAAAAATTGATCCAAACCCTGTGGCATGGGAACATGTTTGGAGCAGTCACCTGTAGATCTGGGAATTACGCAGCCTAGGTGTTTCCAAAATCGGTGATCCCTAGAAATCGAGTTTGAGCTCGCGCTTGACAAGCAAACAAAGGTCCCGGGTTTCCGCACGAAAACCGAATTATGATGCATTCTCAAGGCGCCCGATGAACGGAGCAGTAAAGTAGCTGACAATTTGAACCAAAAATGTCAATAAGACCTGATTAGGGAACAAGAGTTAAACTTAGTTCTAGCCATGGTGAGGACAGCAACTGTCGAACCCAGAAAAAGAGTGGTAGTCATCCGAGCCCTCAACTTGATCATCCAAGTGGCACCAAAAGCTGTCTGAAAGTCTGCATCGCTCAGCATCCTCAAAAGTTGTATTTGCTAGTGCCAAGTGCAACATTCTTTGAACATTTGCAGTCTCAAAACTACACAAAATGAAAAAAGGCGATCTAGCCAGCCGCAGAAGGCACTTTAAGCCACCACAAGGGTCACGGTGTGAGGGATTTGACCGGTCGAGCACACTTTTCAACATAGCTGCATGTGGCATCCTGTGACCAACAGAGACTCAGGATGATCCTCCTGTATTAAAATTGACTGGACAGGTTGATTCCAATCACCACCGTGTCAATGCATTCAACATCTTGAAACCCCCAAACCCTTTACCTTTTCTGGATGCTTCTTGGACATTGGACATGGACAGTCTTAGATACCATCCATTCTTTTATCTGTTGATTAGCTAGTTACAGTTAGGCCCCATGGATGACAAAACGTTAAAGTCATAAAGTAGCAATCTAATTGATTCACTCCATAAATCAACCATCTCTCTCTCTCTCTCTCTCTCTCCCTCGCCATCTCGGGGAGATCGGCAGTGCCGAAGATGAGCCATCTTAAGGCGATTCAAATGCCACAGATCGAACCAAAATCAACCAAAGTACTGGTCAAATTCCCAGTTTCACCACCGGTGAAAATCCCAAACTTCTGATGAACATCTTGGGCCAAAAAATGGTTTTGCCACAGGTCGAAGCAAATCAAGGAGCTGTTCCCGGCTGCTGGCGTCGATGCCTCGTGCTTTCCAAATGTCTGCATCTCGAAGCCTAGGCGCCCGGGTGGCTGCCCTGCTACAACTTGAGGGGTATGTTGCTGTTGGCATCTTGGCAGTTATAACATGTTGTAACTCATCGCAATCATAATATCATGTTGTTTTATTGTATGCAACGCATTACAATTCTGAATTCAGAATCTGCCTTTTTTTGGTGGTTTTCCTTACACATGTTACTGTAAACGGGGCAATGGAAAGTCCCACTACTGACAATACAGTCAACCTAGACGTATGACTTATCTATCAATGAAGGATTCTTCATGATTCTTCCTACAATAGATCTACAATGATCTGCATAGATCTACTCTGGCATACCAGTCAACTAATCTATAAATATATCATATGTCAGAATATAATTAATATATTATTATCATGGGTTTACTTGGGTTTACCCTCTGGTAACCCAACAAAGTACTGCAAATTGTACCTATATTATATATTTGTTCAATGATTTGTCTATTCACCATTGTAATCTCCATAGAAATGTTTTAATCAATATTCTACGAATATCCTATTATTATTATTGTTATTATTATATTCCTGATATCACTATTGAATATGCCATATATCAGTACTACATCTTCTCCAATTATCCCCAGGGTAAACCTCACAATCCCACAAAATCTCATAAAAGTAAACTATATCCTATTAAATCCACCATGTTCTCACCAGCCCATCACAAACGACCCAGCGACTCTTCCAACGTCATGGGTTCACCGCAACGGGCGGGCAGGACTGCTGGAACTGCTGGTGCTGGTGCCGGCACTTCCTCGTTGGAAGGGCCCCCCATGGTGTCTGCTCGTCCAATTTTGGGAAAACTCCCTTGAAACGGCACTTGTTGAGCATATTGAAACCACCAATCAGTTCTGCCCAGCCCCTATCCCACTTAGTAGCTGGCCAGTGTCCAGCAATCCCATGTTTTCTCCAAACAGATACGCAAATCCGTGTGCACTGTGTTAACCCTACTTATGATTTATATACCAACAAGGATTATTCACCATGTTTCTCTCCAATGTTTGCCTTCTTCTGGGAAAGCGGGGTCATATGGGTCATCCTCCAAGCGCCCAAAAATCTGGCCTTGGGCGCCGTCGGCTCCTCCTCCAATTTTGGCGGCGTTTTGGCCTCGCTTTTGGCCTCCTGACAGCAACGAGGATCCGCAGCTTTTCCGGTAGGAACTCATGCCGTACCAAACTACCAGCTGATAAGTTCATAACACGTGTGGCCAACCTTCAGAGGCTCAGCAAATCTTGTAGCAAGACCCAAAATTCCAGGTTTGCCCAGAGATAAACCTCCAGCTGCGAGCGCCTTGGGGTAACCATTGGGAGCAGGATCTGGAGCACAGGCGCTGCAGAGATATTCCCCCCGCAGCAGGGCCTCCACTTTGCTGCGCAGCAAGGGCATCTGCAAAGTTCCCGTTCCATTCGCCAGAGGCGTTGCTCCACATTTGGAACACTTGAAGCAGCTCCTTATGCGCACCACGGGCCAGTGGTGGTCAGCTCGTGTGGGTCAACTCCACTTGACTTGGAACATGGAAACCAAACATGGCGATAGATACAGTAGTGGGGAAACCACCTAGCAACCTGTATAAACTTCATATATATATATATATATATATACGAAAGTTATTGATATGACCCTAAATTATATATATATATAAAATATAATATATCATGAAAATAAGGGATGGAACAATTCTTCTCATGGCTCCCCTGCACCTAAACCAGCTCCAAGCTTCACGTGCAGAACGCGACCGTCCAGTAGTTGGAAGGCATCCTCCTCCCGTCGAAGAATGTGGGATGGGCTGGAAACATTGAGTCGGGTGGGCAAATCTGATGCCAACATAGTAGACATAAGAATAAAGAACCCCCAAAAGATAGTAGAGTTACATTAATTCATTGCAGCATTCGAATATTTATAGGAATGATTAGGAATGTATGTTTCTATCTCTGATTGGCGTCGTGATCACGAAGGAAAACCATAAAGGGGATGGAGAGTCGAGGGTTACCCTGGTACCCCTAAGGGCAACGAACTCTTGGGGAAGCAACGGAGGTGAGATCGCTCTCCCAGGCGGAGAAATTTCTATGAGACAAAGGAACATGCCACAACTACCAATGAGATCTCTGATGATTCTGACGAAGAACTTGGTTGGCACCAACGGGGTGGGCATTGGCACCCCGCTGGACTGTGCCGGAAAATCATGGCAAACAGGAGCATGTCCTTGTTCATTTTCAGAGTGACAGCAGGGATGGAACGGTGGGAGCAGCCAAATGCCTCCATACTTATTCATAGTCTTGGCTTTCGTGGAACTTCAGAATGTGCAAACAAGCAATTGTGTTGAACATTCTCTGACCCTTTGCGCCCTCTAACATGGTCTAACATTGTCTAGCCATCATGAACCAGTTTAGCATATCATATTTCAACGCCCCCACTGCTTTTGTTCATGTATTGTTTTTCCTCCATTTTCAAACACGCCCAAATATGTATATATGTTATAATTAGCCGGTTATCACAAAAAAAACGCTACTATAGTATATATTGTTTTAAAAAACACAATATGATGTATTATTATATCAATTTTGGTGGCTTAACAAAACCCATCTATATATGAGATATTTCCCACTATTTCTCCCAAAAAACATAGAACCACCAGGGATCCACCAGTCCTCCGAGTTCGCGCCACACGCCCCGCCACACGCTGCGCACGTGGCAGCGCCGGCGGCCTCCTGGGCTGCGGCGCGCTCTGCGTCCGCGGCCCGGGCCGCGGCGCGTTCGGCGGTGGCGCAGCTGTCGCAGAAGTAGGGGCAGTCCTGGTAGCCTTGGGGGTTGACCATCTTGCAATATGCCATTGATTTACGTACTATAACATATATGTTTGTGTTAGATATGATTTATATGTTTATATTTATATATTTTATCATATACAGTGGCAGTGTATAATATATATATATATAGATACTAATATTGGATAATTGGGTAAAGAATTACACAATTCACTAAACATGACGAGCCAGGTAGCTGAACTTGCGGTCCTCCAGGATCACCTCAGATTTGTGCTTTTCAGAGTCCTGCCCCCCTCCCAACCAAAAAAATGTCGTTTTTCAATAACCATCTTCCCAAAAGACCGTCTGTGTTATTTGTCAAAGGTCAAAATAGATCAAAATCCTATTCAACATATTCAATGACCGCAGGAAACATTGAAAAATCAAGTGATCCAAGTGATCCAAAATGATCCAAGTGACGTAGGAGTTCAGGGCTTTGGCACATTTCCTGCACTTGAAGCAGCGTTCATGGAACATGTCCCTCTTGTCCGCCAGAATGCTGGACTCATCCTCCTCGGAAATTGTCATCCAACTGGCTCCCAACCCGAACCAGCACTAAACTTAAGAGTCCAACAACATGGAGAGTGTAGGGTCTTACAGGAAAAAAAACAAACCAGAGCAAACATTAAAAAAGAAGAAAGCAACCAAAATAATCAAACGCAAATTAAACACTGGGGATCCAGTTTTTGCTTTATGTTGAATTTCTGATGATTCTTTCCTTTTTTTTGCGAATAAGTTTATGTTTCTGGTTTTTGCAAAAATCAACTTTCTCTGTTCAAACTGGTCTCTTAATAATAGTAATAATAATCATCAGCCCTCTCTCTCTCTCTCTCTGCGTCGCCTTCTCCAAGAGTTTGGCCTGACGCCTCGCTCATGATCTCTTACAATAGGTAATTCGCAATATCACATATTTCATGATTTTACCATGTTGAATTCTTTCATGTTGCTTGTCGCAATCGTAAGTGTCAGCTTAGCTTGTCCCTCAGAACTTTTGAAACAACCATATCGCTCTATTACTATTATATATTATATGCTACCTCTGCATGACGAAGCATTATGAAGCAGGATAATCACTGATAATAGTCAATGGCTGATGGCTGCAACTGTGTGGCAAACATGACTTTCTAGCTATCAATAGCAATGATGTCAAGGAAGCTCACGTGATCGCGGTATCTGCGTTCCGCCAGCATGTCTGCTTGGTGGCTTCAACCCATTCATACTTGCCAGTTGGTGATGTTATAGCAAAAAACAATCTGTGTCATCTATCTATCATATATGTTCATCCCGAAAGACCGTCTGTGTTATAAATTTGGTGCAACCACCAAGCAATTGTTGCCGACATACTCGGGTTCTACCAGCCACATGCATAGCATCCCTTCTCTCTCTACCCCAATTTCTTCCGGTTCTTGCCATCATTCAGATTTCCCCCCCAAGGTGGTCCTCAATGGGCTGCTTGCAGCCTCTGCACTTCGGAAGCTCTTCCGGTGACGCTTTGGGCTTCGGCTTCTCCGTCAGCGCGTCGCGGCACGCGACACAGGTCAGGGCCCCATCGATGCGACAGAAACTTCCCACGATGGGCTGCTCGCAGTGGGTGCACTTGAAGCACTCGGGGTGCCATACCCTGCCTGGCACAGAGGCATGGGAACCAGCTGTTTGGTCATGGCGGATGTATGCGGATGCCATCTTGAATAAGTATACACAAGAAGGCAACCACGGCAGTTCCCAAACACGGAATACATTGACATTATCAATTCATTCAACTTCAACAATTTCAACAATTTCCCAAGCCAGCCCTGACAAGAAACTCAGCCAAGCGCTGCTCCCTCTGCACAGTTTCACACCTTCCATGTTTTTCCCTATCTTTTTGGAGCGGCTTGAAGCAGACCACTCCCAAGCTAATGGGACGACTACAAACAAAAAGAAACATCAACTAATCAACTCTGAATCATCAACCTCGCCAGTAGCTGGCTATAGGGTATGAAAGTCCTCCTGTGTGTGTGTGTGTGGATTATGTTATAAGTTATTATCTATTGTTTTTTTTGAGCATGTAATACACACACATATATATAATATAATTATATATATAATATATAAATATAATTACATATATATATATATTAGGTGCAGCATGTTTTCACCAAAACCAAGGTATACCCAGCAGAGCACAACAAACCTGCCACCCCTTGGGGCCTTCCGATCTCGTCTCCTTCCCTTCAATTCGCTTGCGACATGCCTCGCAGTAGGAGTAGCCCTTGCAAGCCTCGCAGATCCGCTGGCCATCCTGATCCGTGGTGGCGATTGTGAAGCAAGTTCCTTCCAGTAAACTGACATGTGGAAAATGGATGAACATGGCCCATTCACTTCGATGATTTACCACATTGTGATTTTTCCATAGCTATATGTTTAACAGTGTTTAATGTACCAGAGGCCGTACTGTATGGAAACATAATCTCCAACTTTTCTGAAGTATATACAGTATATACATATAATTCTATAGTCCTAACGTAACATTCAATTACATCGAAAACAGGACATTGTGTGCGTCCAAGACCAAAACAGGGTCTCGATTTGGGGGCAGACCATGGTTTCCAATAGGGAGTACTGAATATCAAACAAAGGGATTGCGTGTATATATATATATATGAGCAGGGACCCCCACACCCCCCCCCTCCCCCAGCCAGATGGTTCCCCCCCCCCCTGTGGCAGGGGAGGGGGGGTTTTCTCAGCAGCCAAATGGTGTATGTAGTCTTTATAGTGCATATAGTGCATATGCATCGATAATTACAATGGATATACTATATCTAATATAGAGTGTATGTGTGGTGTATGTATATATATATGACATATATATGTGTATATATATATATATGTGACATCTATATATATATGACATATATATACATATATATATATAAATATGACATGTATATATATATATTGAACATATATATATATATATATTGAACATATATATATATATTGAACATATATATATATATATATGACATATATATATATGACATATATATATATATATCGAACACACACATATATATATATATATATCGAATCGTATATGTGGATTTTGATAGAATATAGATAGTATATGCCACATGTACTGTATCCACAGTAGATGTAATATATATATATACAATATAGGTAAATATGTCCGTTGAATAAATTTTACATAGTATATGTGGTATATTGAATATCGACAGCAATACACGCTGTATATCGATATATATATATATATATATGTACATATATATATATATATGTACAGTATAGTATGTACAATGTAAACGAAATATGTGATAGATACAAGATCAAGATATCAATATGTAGTATCTAGAATGTGCGTATATATATATATTTATTTATTCCCCACATCTTTGTGTGGGGTTCTTGTTTTTGATTCTGTATCCCGGGCTTCTCCTTCTCCTCCTCCTCCTCCCGCCGCCTCCGTCACAACATACAACATACATACAATAACATACAATAACTTCCATACAATAACTTCAACATACAATAACTTCAATACAACACACACACATACATACAATAACATACAATACATACACAAACTTAACACACACACACACCAACAACAACAACAACAACAACAACAACAACAACAACAACAACAACAACAACAACAACAACAACAACAACAACAACAACAACAACAACAACAACAACAACAACAACAACAACAACAACACACAACAACACACAACAAAACACAACAACACACAACAACAAACAACAACACACAACAACACACAACAACACACACTCCCCTTAACTTCCTCGTTTTACTTTCTGCGGGCGCTGTCACTTGTGCCAATCCACCTTTAACTTTCCACTTGTTCATAGTCTTTGGCACAACCTCAACATCTACCGTCCGTTTTGCGTGGCGGTCGTGGAACGATTGGCCTGGGTTGGCGCGCCTTGGGCCGGTTTAGGCGCCGCCGTGAAACGCCCCGTGACGCCTCTTACTTCTGCGGGCAGGCGTGGCACTTGGTGCCATCCACCTTGATTTTCACGTGGCAGAGGCGTGCACAACTCACATCTACCGTCGTTTTGCGTGGCAGGCGTGGGACAGATGGCAACTGGGTGGCGCCCTTGGGCCGGGTTTAAGGCGCCGCCCGTGACGCCCATGACGCCGCGCCACTTCTGCGTGGCAGGCGTGGCACTTGGTGACATCCGCCTTGATTTCACGTGGCAGGCGTGGCACAATCGCCCATCCACGGTCGTTTTGCGTGGCAGGCGTGGTACAGATGGCACTGGGTGGCGCGCTTGGTCTTGGTTTAGGCGCCCGTGACGCCCGTGACGCCGCGCCACTTCTGCGTGGCAGGCGTGGCACTTGGTGACATCCACCTTGATTTCACGTGGCAGGCGTGGCACAACCTCACATCTACCGTCGTTTTGCGTGGCAGGCATGGGACAGATGGCCCTGGGTGGCGCCCTTGGGCCGGGTTTAGGCGCCGCCGTGACGCCCGTGACGCCGCGCCACTTCTGCGTGGCAGGCGTGGCACTTGGTGACATCCACCTTGATTTCACGTGGCAGGCGTGGCACAACCTCACATCTACCGTCGTTTTGCGTGGCAGGCATGGGACAGATGGCACTGGGTGGCGCCCTTGGGCCGGGTTTAGGCGCCGCCGTGACGCCCGTGACGCCGCGCCACTTCTGCGTGGCAGGCGTGGCACTTGGTGACATCCACCTTGATTTCACGTGGCAGGCGTGGCACAACCTCACATCTACCGTCGTTTTGCGTGGCAGGCATGGGACAGATGGCCCTGGGTGGCGCCCTTGGGCCGGGTTTAGGCGCCGCCGTGACGCCCGTGACGCCGCGCCACTTCTGCGTGGCAGGCGTGGCACTTGGTGACATCCACCTTGATTTCACGTGGCAGGCGTGGCACAACTCACATCTACCGTCGTTTTGCGTGGCAGGCGTGGGACAGATGGCACTGGGTGGCGCGCTTGGACTGGTTTAGGCGCCGCCGTGACGCCTGTGATGCCGCGCCACTTCTGCGTGGCAGGCGTGGCACTTGGTGACATCCACCTTGATTTCACGTGGCAGGCGTGGCACAACCTCACATCTACCGTCGTTTTGCGTGGCAGGCGTGGGACAGATGGCACTGGGTGGCGCGCTTGGACCGGCTTGGGCGCCTGTGACGCCGCGGCACTTTGCGTGGCAGGCGTGGCACAAACTTACACGTAGTGTCGTTTTGCGTGGCAGGCGCGGCACAAACTCACATCTACTGTCGTTTTGCGTGGTAGGCATGGGACAGATGGCACTGGGTGGCGCGCTTGGACCGGCTTGGGCGCCTGTGACGCCGCGGCACTTTGCGTGGCAGGCGTGGCACAAACTCACATCTACTGTCGGTTTGCGAAGATGCGGTCCTTGCTCGTGGTCGAGAGGCACAACTCAACTGCAAGAATGTGACCAGGGGTCTATGCTTGAACGGGATTAACATATGGCCTGCTCGCAACGAGAAAAAGTCGGCGCACTGCAGTTGCATTTGTCATGCATGCATACATACATACATACATACATGCATACATGCATACATACATACATACATACATACATACATACAACCAACATACATACATACATACATACATACATACATACATACATACATACATACATACATACATACATACATACATACATACATACATACATACATACAACCAACATACATACATACATACATACATACATACATACATACATACATACATACATACATACATACATACATACACATACACATACACATACACATACACATACACATACACATACATACATACATACATACATACATACATACCGTTTTACCTTCTCGATCTTTCACCACCTCCTTTGTCTTTCCTTCCTTCTCCGACCCCGCTACAACCTTTGAAACTCATTATTGGAAGAAGTTGACTTGTGGGGTTATCCGGTCCTTTAATTGTTTTTCTACTGTACATATGTCTAGGTTTGCATAGGTAAGCTTTGCGTAATCCATAGGTAGCAAATATGTTGTAAACCATGTGCGAGGCACGCTATAGGCGGTTCGAAAAAAGGTTATGATAGAAATATACAGGTAGACAAGGTCCGTTGACGAGGTCGTGGCTCTGACTCAAGTGCTGCAAATAACGTAGAGATGCGAGGGTGGAGGGGTGGAAAGGGGAGTATATATGTGTATATGTGTATGTATATGTGCAAATAACATGCAAATACTAGGTTTTGGGGGGTGGGGGGGTTAGGAGTGGGGGGATAACCATTGGGGTGGGAGGGGGGTGGGTGTGGGGGGGTTCCGGGTCCCCGTGTTCCTCTATCTCTTATTCTCTCTACCTGCCCCGCCTCTCCCTTCTTCTTTTTCGCCTCACATAAATAACATTCTTATTTACCAGTATATACATGCCGGCAAATATTCCCTGGAGATCCCTGGTGTAAATGTTGTCCACATAGCTACGGAAAACCATAGGGAATCAATATGGGAATCATTTATAAACAGTGGACTTACATGGACTTACCATATTTGATCATATTTTCTATAGATTTTTTCCAGCCAGGGAATCATGTTCAAGCCATGGTCTCGGCAATTTGACACGGATGTTGAGCCCTTTTGAGCCCTCGCGATGCCCCGCGCCTGCTTGTGAAATTTCCCGGTCAACGGTTTTTGGCACTTGTCGCAGCAGAAGCAGTCCGGATGGAAGTAAACGGCTTCCACCTACTGGTTGGTTAACCAGCCCGTTTCTGAAAATATGAAAGCATATGAGTTGGCCAATCCGGATTATAATCCCACTTGTTAACAATTCAATATGGATTCAATATATAGTTTAAGCATCCAGTATCAACAGAAACATCAAGAAAATACAAAAGAACAAAATCACATAAAACTGCCAGCCAGCCACGCACAACCCCCTCCCCACGATCTCTTTGGAGCAGCTTCCACAGCGCTTGCGTTCGCTCATGGCGCGTGGCGTGCTCCGCAAAGCGCCAACGGCTGCGGTTGCGCTTGGCTCAACAAATACGTTGACGGGGTGGACCCGTGGTAAGTCCTAGAACATTGGGGTAATGTGGTAAAGCCAATAATAGTAAACATACATATGAAATAATATTGGAACAGTAATGTTCCAATGAATAGTATATTTCAATATATTTCAATAGTTAATGATAATCAACATAACAATAATACAATCATAGGGATAAGAGTGATAATAAGGCTAATATACTCAAGAATAAACATAAACCACTTCCTTCCGGATGGTGTTTTATGATCATACAATCGCCTCCAAATCATCAAATTCTGTAAATGACCTCATGATATGGCGTTTCTGAGAGAAGAATTGAAAATGAATAATATATATATATATACAGTACCTCAGAATCATCCAAATTCTGGTGGTTGATCTTTGATATTTTGCCAGGTCATCACCGCAAGAGTTGGATGAGTAAAAACAACCCTCTTCATTGCAGGCGATGATTAGGCGATTCATATAGGATTGCTTCCATCCAATCAGCTGTTGTGCTGTTCTTTCCCTTTGGCATCGGCATATCAGCCTAGGCCTCCGCGCCAGCGCCATGCGAGTTGCATGGTGGCATGACGGCAACTGGGGAAGCAGGCCCATCTGTGGCAAATCTGGGGCTGTTGGTCGTTCTTTAGCGGACAATGCCGGACCATCCAACCAATACACCAGTCGAACCTTCAAGTCTGGAGGTTGAACATGATCTTTCTTTGCTGGCTACTTGTTGGTTCACACGTCTTTGGCCTGGCAGAACGTGTGCAAACGGTAGATGTGACATCACAGGCATATTGCATCTCTGGTTTGGTATGGTTATATCTCCATGGCTCTTTAACATGTCAATCTGCCACAACACTTTGCGCGTACCATTATAGAAAGGAAACCAATAGGTTTATAACATGTGCGGAAAAAAACGCATTCATGTAGATCTGAGCATGCTACGAAACGACATCTTCAACCAGAAACTCGAGCCAAAGTCAGTTCCGTTTGAGCCACACTATTTCTTACAGTGCAACCATGCTCCCCTTCACGTCCCTAGACATTTTTAATTGGAGTGCCCTGGATCAAACGAAGCCTGACCATAAATGCCCGCGTGGGCTTCAGAACACTCATGAAACACAAATTAATAACCGGTCTTTTTTTTGAAGAATATGATAGCTCCAGGGGCAAATCATCATCATTTATCACCATTTACATGCCTGACATTAAAAATCATCATTGGATAATATTTTCCGATATCGGTTCGCCTATGTTCCCCATATATATTCCCATATTGGAATATGATTTACCCATAGAAATTCCCCAGTTTCCCTATGCTCATCGCACAATCATCTCCCGAAACACGCACCTCCTCAAGACACTTTGGAGACCTGACCGCCAGGCCACATCCGTTTGGTGGCGACAAAAAAAAGGAAACCGTTGAAGAAACCCATGGGGGAAAAGCATGAAACCCACCATGCTGGACATATCGTTCTATCTTTTTTAGGCTTATATGATGTTATATGAAATATGTAATATGTAACTTACATGTATGTAATTAATATGTCTGTATATATGTCGTATATGCCGGCATAGATTTGTATATCTAGGTATCTATGTGGTAAACCCAATGCCATCAACCTCCAATTTTGGATAATTCAAACCACCTATATTTATGGTAATATTGGGGATGGTATATGGCATTCGGTTGATCACAATAAACATTGACATACATGTTGGTTAATTTACATTTGTATCTATGACTATTGATTCTCCAACATTTTTTTATGGGCACTTGGAAGCTCGCCCAGTTCGGTTTCAGCATCCGTGGGCATCCCAGCTCCCAAAGATCTCGAACGATGCGCAGCGAACTCCACCTGATCCGATCTCAGCTTGGGACACCCGGGGGTCCCAAGGGATCTATCATAGAAAGATCAAGCAAATAACAAACCTGTAGAAACCCATGGTCATGTCAACCCTTGATGAATAATGATGTAATACACTTAATAATGAATGCTTGATATCACACACTTTTGTACTACGATCTACCAAAGCACGGGGGGAGCGCACACTCAAAGTGATCGCCATGGCCATACTCAAGAGGTGAAGCGTTTTGAAAGCCAAAGGCCAGAATCCTACGGATGTATTTTCGAACTACATGGGTACCAACTTTTAGTTGTTTGCATTTTTTCCAGTTCCAAAAGAAATATATAATCCGGAATGTTGAATCGACCCCATTGATTCAACAGGTTGGCCGGGAAAGTGACAAGTTTTACTGCAGATGAGGTTCTTGCTACGGCTATGCACCAATTATCGGACCAGTCCACGTCTTGCCAAGTTGCCACAAACTGCGCGGAATTGCGGTTGTCTTCTCCTTGCAGCTGTATTCCTGGTTCCAAGGGGTTTGGCTTCCAAGGTTTTCTGTAGGAACCAAATGTGCAAACCGTAAATTTGAATGCATTTGCGCATCAAATAGCTCAATAGATAGAAATCAGGCACGTGCAAATGAGCTTGAATGATTGCCACACACGACACATCGTCTATGTACACGCATATGTATATATATACATACATACATACATACATACATGCATACATACATACATACATACACACACATACACATACACATACACATACACATACACATACACATACACATACATATAATATATATATATACACACCAGCTCTTAAACCAAGATGCTGTCAGGTAATATCGCGATGATATACATACGCAAATCCATCTGCTTTGTTTCTTACCACCCAAAAAAATCTGATGCCTTGACTATCCATTGGGGTCATCAGTTGCTCAACCTGTAGGTATCACACATGGCTTTGCCCCTCCCCCGTATTCAGTGGCCATTGATTAGAACTATGGATTTCCCAAAGCACGTTTGATCACCGGAGGACCATTCGAAAGAAAGTTAAGCAACCGTTTTGTCTTTTTGGGCTCTCCCCAAGAATGTCTTAGTATGTTCTGGCGTACGGTTCTCAACTCATGCAGTCTCCTCTTGACTGTGCAACTCAAAGATCAAGCCAAGCATATGCGCCAGCCTCAAATGCACAAAATCAAGGTGCCTCCTGGCAAAAACTCCTAAAAAAAACAAGGTGGTGAGATCTATCTTCCTCTTGCGAGTTCAGTTGGTGCAACTCGCCAACTCCAAAGGGCACTGGTCCAAACATCCCACGACAAAATACGCGAAAATACAACTTATCAAAGTCCTGAACATTTCCCGTTGGATTTCTATAGATTGATGGTCTAATTCATGGTCTAACCTTGTTAAGGCCGTTTAGGTCTCAGAGGACATACCTCTCAAAGTTTTCTGAGGACTGCTGACCCGGCACGCGGCCGCAACTGAGCCATTTCCAAGAGTCCTGGAAGTCGGACGACAATGCGAGGCCCTCGCGGACCCTTGCATGTAAGAATAGAACAGGCCAAACTGTCGACACCAAAAGAGAGTGAACATTGTTGAGATCCACATCCTTGAATACAGTTGCATGTGGCTCTGCATAATTGTTGCCCACATGCATGTGAAACACATATCAACACATAGACACACACAAATAATCAAAGATAGTGGCATTATATACTTTTTTTTTCTCCCGCGCCTTTTTCCATCCGCGCGGTTGGGGTGAAACGTCACCGCAGGGGCAGGCGGCTGGGGCCAGCGGGAGGCGCCAAATCGAGGATGAAGTGGCGGGCCGGTGTTCCCAGCCCAGCAGGCTGTTGCGGATGGATCCACAGGTGGCCCTGCGCGGTGCTGGCCACCGCTTGCTGGAGGGCGACACTGAGTAGCCTCCACCATCGGCGCTGCCAGCCACTGCGGGCCGCGGCGCGCACGGCCGCGGCAGTGCGGCGCGCTCGATGGCGCAACAGCAATCTCAGCAAGTGCTGGCAATCGCTTCGCCAGCGGCCGCCGATTTCGCACGCAAGGACGAGGAGGCGCTGGCCGCCGCCACGGTTTGGCGCGAGCTCCGGGTACCGCCGATGTTTGCGGCGTTTTGCCGCAGTGATGGCTGCTGCGCCGACCCGCGGAGCGGTGGGGATGGGCGCCCCCGTCCGTGTCAAGGGGGAGACGAGGGTTATTTGTACCATAGTGACCATAGCGGGAAGTCAAGAGGGTGGGAAGGATATAGTTGACACACGTACAACCGTTATGAATTGTGTGCCTCTTTTGGCTTGATTCAGTTTCCTCATATTCCGATAAGTCCGATTTGAATGTTCCCTGAGCATCGGATATTGATTACAATCAATAAACTTCCTATTTTTCTAATTGATTTTGATTCAATTGATTTTTTTGATTTAATTGATTTTTTAGTTTTGAATCAATTGATTTTTGTATTGTTTTTTTTATTTGGGATATTGATTTTGGGGGTTGAAACTTTTGATCCTTTTTTTTGGTGGCTGCCAGCTGTTTTGGCTCTCAGCTGTTGGAAAAAAGATTTAGAAAAAATAGGTAACTCCTGCCTTGAAAAAGGCTTGTGCCTTGAAAAAGGAGACTGCCTTGAAAAAGGAGAGTGCCTTGAAGAAGGCATGGCTGGCAAAGGGGGTGCCAGACATTTCAGCAAACCTCTGATAGACCAGGGGTTGCTGTACCAAGTCTTTGCTGAACACAAGGACTTGGTATTTAATTTGAAAGGGTATGAATTGTTGTCGAGAAATTCTGCCCACAACCCCTTAGCCATGCATCAAGTTTTGCCCCTCATTGATGCTTTGGTAGACTTGGAAAGTTCAGCTGAAATTCATGCCCAGACAATGAGATCAGCTTTGCTGCATCTCATTACTAGGGAGCCTGAGCTGAATACCAGCGACTACAATGGTAGTGTCTTTGTAAATCTGAGAGCTGACAGGATTTCAGTGGTACTGCACCATGTCAGAAGGCTGGCAAGGGCAAAGACAATGCCCAGCAGTGTCATTGGTAGCCTGACAGCTACTCAATTTAAAGAGCTCAACAAGACCTTGAAAAAGGTGGTGTTGAGAGATGTGCCCCA